TCTAGAGATGGGGATATGGCAGGGATTCAAACTCTTAGCCTCATACTCTTCACAACACAAACTTTGCTTTGGAGCCCTGATAAAAGGGCCAAGGTGGGGAGCAGGGACTGAGGAGGGAGCCAAGCTGGAGGAGCAGTTAACAGTGGGAAGAAGGAAGCCATCATACACATACACACGCCCCTTTTGACACTGCAAGGGCAAAGCTGAAACACAGATATGCCAGGCTTGGTTGAGGTTCGGAACATGAGAAAGAACCAGCAACATATGCACAGAGAGCCCAAGAGCTGCTACCTGTGGGCTTGGGGCTGCTTAGGCACAATGTCAGAGCAAATGCTTCTACCAAAGGAAAAGTGAGCAGAGCCCAGCAGATGCCCCTCTCCACTCGAATCCAGCCCAGGCTGGCAGCTCATCAGCTGCTGATCCAGCCTCCCCCTGAGCTAGGGAAAGAGAGAAAAAGAGATAGCTGGGAAGAGGTTAAGTCATGTGGAACATCCCTCGACAGCCAGCCTGGTACAGATCAGCCAGGCCTGGAGCACTGAAGTACACCTCCTTCAGGCATGCTAACCCCCCATGAGGGTGAAGAGATGCCTGCCATCCATTACCCCTGCCCTAATGGTGCCCCAAAGTGCTACCTGATCCATCACTTGAGGGACAAGGTCTCCAAGTTGGCCCCAATCTGTAGACCAGACTCTAAAAACAGACAGAGACCTTGGGGAAGAAATGTGACTCACTCCTTACTTGAAGCACATACTACGGAGCAACCAGTGTGTGTGTGTGGCGGGGGGTGGGGGTGGGTAAAAAAAAAAAAAAAAGTCTCTGCACATTAAAGACTAGTTGGATTTTGGAAGTTCTGCCCATCTCTGAGACTGTCTTGACAAATACAGAAGCCCATGCAGCAAAATCTGAGCAGTTTGTTAATGTTTTTATTTTATTTTATTTTTTTTATTTTTCTCTCACTTCTCTTAAACAACAGACTCCCAGACCTCTTAGAGGAAAATAAACAAATGACAGAAAACGCCGGATGACCCTAAACTTTCACTTGCAATTTATCACAGCGTCAGCCCCAGGCCCTCTGTATTTCTGGGCACTCAGAGGAAACAGCTCCCTGAGAACTGCCAGCAAGCATCTGACAAGTGCACGGCCATGTGGTCCCATCTGTCATTCTTCACCACCCATCAAACCCTCCCTTGGAGGCCGAGGACTTCTCTCCTGGCCCCTCACGAGATGTGAAGACCAGGCCCAGGTCCTGGTGTTATCCTGGAAGGTCACCCCCCAGTTGTTGGCATCAAGACCCCAAAAAAGACACACTTGAGGAAAATCCACAGGCCTTGGAACAGCCAGGTAGAGCCAAGCCGGGCAAGCTGATGACCTCAGAACTGTCTGCTTCCAGCTGCTCTCCTTCAACTACTTCAGTGGAAACCCAAAATCCAGCTTTCTCTCTCTCTCTCATCTGTTTTAACAGCAGATTTCCAGAACTAAAGGGGCTGTGTGGGGTCTTCTCCCTCTCTTCAGATAGTTCTCTGTCACATCAATGAAGCACATGTGCGTGCACGTGTGCACCCGCGCCCCCCTCCAAGGGCTAGGACCAGAGAAGAAGGGGAGGGGGCGGCCAGGATGAGATTGCCCCAGATCAATGGATATTTGAAACTCAAACACATGGCCCAGGACCCACACTGCACGTGTTAATTACCACACATGTGCCCATAAAGGAGTCCGTTAAACACAGGGGCCCAAAGAACAGAGCGAGGAAAGGACATTCCAAGGGATTAAGTAAATAGTCTGAAGTTGTGACCCTCCTCCCCTCCTGAAGCACGTGCATCTGGCTGAGGAAGATAACAGGGCCCCCCTTCTTCCCCCATTTCTTCCCTGGGGCCCCACACCTGTGGACCACAGCAACCCAGGCCTCCCAGCCTGAGGCCAAACACCGTGACCTGCTACCGAAGGCTGCTATCTCTCTGGGCCTCCTCCCCCGGCTCCTTGCCTTTCTCCTCCTCTCCTTCACAGGACTAATTCCTGGCTGGCAACCAGACGGTATGTGGTCACACAATACATCTTTTCATTCCTTCCAGGCAGAGAGAACCGATCCCTCCCAGCCCCGTCAGTGGGGCAGATTCAAAAGGCCAAGAGGGGAGGGAGTGAGAAGCCTGGGTCCCGTCCTCACCCTGCAGCCCCTCACCCCTCACACCTGCAGACCTCGTGCCTCACCTCCTTTCTGACCATATCCCCCTCCTGCTCAAGGGTCCCCGGGCCAGCATCATTTAAGTTGCAGCCTCAGGACGGCGAGCTCCAGCACTAGGGAGATGCCTCCTTGGGGAAGCCACGTGTGGGCACAAGCTCAGACAAGGGGCCTTTGTGTCTTCCCACCTGCTGCCCTACAGAGCACATTCCATTCTTAAGTGGCCTCTGAAAGAGGAACCTTGGCAGGTCAATACAGGATATTACAAATGCCCTCTCATACCCTGTCCCCATTCAAACTTAGGCTTCCTGGACAGGTGTGGCTTCAGGTGGCCCTTCCTACAGGTGGCCCAAACCTGCTCTTCACAGCACTGCCCGTGGAAGACAAAGAAAAGAAGACTTGGTGCCTAATTAGATTCTCCAAATAGATGGAAAGAGAGATCACTGGGCAAAAATCAAGTTTCTAGGAGAGAGTGAGCCCTAGCATCTCCTGCCAGGGTCTTGTCCTGACTTTTGCCCCAAGGAAGAAGCCTCTGCAGAACCATCTAGGTGGAAAGACCCCATCCAGGACAGGGGAGCAAAGAGCTGGAAGCCAACAGCACTCGTTCTCTCCAAGAGGAGGCTGCAGATTCTACCCTGTTTCCTCCACCTCTCTGGAGAATCAGGCTCGTCTGCCCTCCTTTGGCCCATGCTCACTGTAAATTGCTGTAAATGTGCTCCCCAACGCACCTGCCCTCTTCCAGCTGGCCCTCTTCCAGGATGACCATGGTTCTGTCTCACTGTTACCCACAGGGCGCAAAGCCACATCAACCTGGAAAGTACTTCTCTGTCTGGTTTAAGAGCCAGATGGCCCAGATGACCTTTCCTGGTACTTGGGCTTCATTCAGCATCACACACTTCACTCACTCCCTTTGGAAGGGAAAATCCAAGAGGTCAGTTTTGCATGGTTACCCATTTCCCCCTACTACTAGGACCTCACGCCCAGAGACACAAGGTGATGTTCCTAAAGATTTCAGTGGCAAAAAGCAAAACAGAAGGCAGCTCCCATTTCCACCCCCTGTAGACACAGGTCATTGACAGCACTAGTGATTTCAAAGATCTTTGCAGATTTGGAAAAAGAGACTTCCTGCCCTTCTTCCCACCTTCCCTTACCTGGGAGGGAACCACCAGCACTCATGGCTATCTCCCCTTGTCTGAAAAGAATCTGGAAAGACACTTGCTCCCTTCTTTTCACCCACTCACTCATTCCTGCCCAGCAGGAAGAGGAGCAGTGCAACTGGGCCGTGGGCGTACATTTCCTGGTAGGTCACCGTGTTCTACTGGGCCACTGTATTCCACTTCCATGGCTTGGAGCACCTGTGTTTCAGGCAGCAGGTTCTTTGGACTGTTGTCTCCTGCATTCAGAGTGGGTGGCTCGGCCTCTTTTTCCATCCCCAGGACCATGCATGTAGGACAAGCCTGTGCACTTTGTGCTGACTCAGCAGTTCCAACTCCACATGGGCTCTTAAGGCCTAAGTGCAGGTGGAAGCCTCAAATTCATCAGAGATAGGAGCTCTGCAGTGCTTATACATGAAACGAAATGGAGATCTGCTTTCCAGGCTGCTACCCGCTCTCTGTGAATGCCATCCTAGAAGCCAGTGGCAACAAAATATAGGCCTCGAACTATCTCCCAAACTGGAAATCGTTGCAAACATATACATAATCCTCATGCAGGCTAATCTACTAAACAGCATTCAGACAAATGCCAGCTATCTAACTTCAGGGACCCAGCAAGAAATGAATATGTAGGACCCTTTGTAAAAATTAAAACAAATAACAACAATAAAAACATAACCAGGAAAAACTGACATTCAAGTCACTAAAATATAAAGCTCTACCCTGTTTTCCATAGTCTCTCCTCTTGAGAGATCATAGTGACCTCTCATTTGCTGTTTAGTGTTGTTCTAGGTAAACAAAAATTAAAGCCTTAAGCTTGCTGTGGGAGCCACAGCCAGCCCCAATGGCACATGCCTGTAATCCAAGTACCTCAGGAAGCTGAGATAGGAGGAGAGCAAGTTTAAAGCCAGCCTCGGGAATTCAGTGAAGCCCTCGGCAACTTACTGAGACCCTGTCTCAAAATAAAAAAATAGAAAGGTCTGGGGATGTGGCTCAGTGACAAAACTCCCCTGGGTTCAATCCCTGGTTCCAAAAAAAAAAGAAAGAAAAGAAAAGAAAAAGAAAGAAAAAAAGTCATCGAAGCTCACATCACAAAAGCTACATGCTTCTGGGGTGACAACATCTGTCATCAGATACTCATATTACAGGTATCTCCAGGCTCACTGTCCCCTCGGATTCAAGACAGAACTACTCAGAATTTCAGGAAAACAAGTGCACAGGCCACACAATCATGGAGCCAGCCCAGTGTTAATGAAGAGAAGCGGGATGCACTGGAACACAGGGGTAAGGAGAATGGGGGCGGGGGGTACTCAAGTGGGTTATTCAAAAGAAAGCTGAGAGCAGACAGGAGCACTCTACCTTCACTGTCTTCTTTGGCTGGCTACATCTGCGGTTGACCAGCTGAACTCCCCAGGGAGCCAGGAGCTCAGGGCTCACATCCAGATCCCTGCAGCTCTACGTGCTACACTTGCTTGTCCCCCTCAGAAATTCTGGGAGATGATCACCACCACCATGCAAGCCTTACTTACCACCAGAATGGGGAGGAAACAGAAGGCTTTCTGGGGGGCACTTTTAGCTTTCACTCCAGGCTCCTTCTCTCTTGTGTAAGAACTTCTGCTCGGACTGGCTTTAGAAGCAAACATTTAGATAAAGCATCAAACTCCACTCACCTCTCCTTCCCGAGTTACCCTGGCTTAAGGGCTTGTCGGTGACTGAACCTTGGGGGAGAGGAGAAACAAAAACAGCCATTCAGAGTGTGCGGCGGTTGGTTTCTTTCAAAGGGTTGGTAAAGCCTGACATTATGAGCATATGGCCATGTATATACGTATTGTATACACACCGGGGGATATTATATACAAAGTGAGTATGTACATACATGTCAGCAGGGTTTGTTTAACATCAATGTCACTGATAACCTAGCACTGTTTTGAGACAAACTATAATTTCCAGGTTCCCTGGCAGTGGTCTTGACCAGGTTCTTTAAAAAGTCCACTTGCAGATAATTCCCCTGTCGAACATTTCAAAACCTACCCCTCCACATCCACATGTCCCCCACTTCTCACCAGCTCCCTGTTCTGAGCCATATCCAGTCGGCAGGGCCAACTGAAAAGAAAACCCCTCTTACTGCAAATGCAATGATTGACATCCCTTGCTGGTTAGGGCAGGAAATCAGCGATTTTCCATCTGCATTAAGTAGAAAATTGTCGGCCCAATTGTACTGAATGGGCCAAAATAGTCTGAGGCATGGAAACAATTTTCTAGACACAGCCTGTTCCTCAGGGTGGGGGTAGCATGTCCGTTTCCCCTGCATATACTGGAGCACCACATGCACCCATCCTCCAGACCTGACCCTGTGGCACCTGCCTTCTCCATGAAGCCCTCCCCCACACAAGCAGGGTATGACCACATATCCACGAGACGACATCTGCAGAGACACCACCAACAAAAGGAAAGAGGATCCGTATTTTCCTAATTTTTATCATACCCCTTCCTTCTCCATATCCTAGTTTTGTGAGAATTCCATTATATTATCCTCCATGGCTACTTTCTAGTACATTTGTTTGCTTTACATGAAACTCTCCAGGTCATGTGCAAGGAGAGCTAATTCCTGCCCCCCTCCACCCCAGCCCCAATTAAGGTTTCCAGTTTCCATGTAAACCACAAATAAAGTAAACTTCCCTTTTGGCCTGCAAATTTGGGTTTCCTAATATACATTCTTACTGTCCTATCCACTTAACTTTTCTCTTTTATATGGAAGGGCTAGTAGAAAGAAAAAAAAATGAGTAAATTTTGTAAGAAGTTACTAGGACTGGTAGCCTTTGGAATTTCAAATAGGTTTTTAGCAAGTGTTTTATATTTTGTTGACATTTAAAATAAGTGAATAAATAAAACCCTATGTACACAGATATGGGGAAATGGTGAGAGGCCCTTTTGAATGAGAGATCGGCCACACAGGGAATTCAAGGGAGGAGCTCGTGAGTCCTCATCACTAAGAGGAGGCAGAAGGTGTAGGGTTTACAGACATCCAGAATCCACAATCCCAATGAATCTGATCCAGTAGCAAAATTTCCCTATGCTTCTAACGTCGAAATAGAAAGGACTTAATTTTTCCTATGGACTAACCCAAGAATTCCCAATCAAGCACCAGTTGCCTAACTTAACTACTCAGCAGAACCACCTGAGAAGATTCATAAAAATAAGGACTTCGGATCTCACTCCAGTCCTATTGGATCAGAATATACAAGAAGCCTTGACATCTGACTTCTTTCTTAATTCCCCAGGCGCTGCTGCTGATCAGTCAGATTTAAAGGCCACTGTCATGAAAGCTTTCCCTTATGGTAGGTTACTTTACTCAAGTGTGGCAAATCTATGGCACAGAGGCCATCACTCTCCTCTCCCACACCTGTGATGGACATCACTAATTGATCACTGCAGCCTTTGATGCTGAACTCATGCGGTCTCAAAATGCATGTTAATAATGCACTGCAAGGACCACTAGCAATCAGTCAGTCAGCACAAAAGGTAAAAGCATACATGCCACCTCAGCTCTAAGGGTTTCCACCAATGCTTAGGAAAAAAGCACCAGGGGGAAAAAAAAAACAGAAATCTAAACTCAGAATAAATAAACATATATACCCTGACCCTCATTATCCAGCTAATTACTGAGGAAGCTGTTAAAGGGGGATCTTTCCTGACCTGAAACAGGGCGTGTAGTCACCACCAACCTTTTAACAATCCCCAATGGGATGCAGGAGACCAATCAAGGGGTTTTTTTTTCCAACTCTTTTCATTCTTCCCGCTCCTCCCTACGATACCTGAACATACAGGAGTTTTATTCTGCACAGAAGAGCCACTGATGGGCTTCCCATCCGGGGTGACACACCAACAGTACCCTGTGTAGGTATGGCACTGCACCTGTTCAGAGGAAGGGGAGGGAGGAGAACCTTAAGTCCCAGAATACAACATCAAGAGGCACCCACCCCTTTCCATGCACTGCCCATCCAGAAGAACAGCTCCTGCCACCTCTCACTCCACATCTGTCTCCAGGGTACATCACATGTGGGTCACCTAGCCAACAGCATCCATGCACAACCATGGCCATTTATCTGCTTCATTCTTATTGTCTCCAAACACTTAACAGCTGGTATCGTTCTGAGATATGTCCACTGTGATTTTCCTGTGTTGGGTCTCACCAATCCCTGTACATTCTTTTCCCAAGCACTCCCATCCAATTATTAAGAATTCTGATCAGTAAACTAATTAGGCAAATATGAGCTGGAATTTCACCATTGTGGATTGACTTGATGCTTCTTTAACAAGTAGAGACAAATGGTAAGCTACTATATATATATATATATATATATATATATATATATATATATATAGAGAGAGAGAGAGAGAGAGAGAGAGAGAGAGAGAGAGAGAGAGAGATTTAGTTGTTGATGAACCTTTATTTTATTTATTTATATGCGGGACTGAGGATCCATGCAGGACCTCACATGCTAAGCAAGCACTCTACTACTGAGCCACATCCCCATCTTGTTCTAGTTTCTCTAAGCACCCGTATATGGATCAGCCTGCCTACTATCACGTGGCTCTCCTGAGCCAGGGCACACACGCATCACAGGGTCAAAGCATGAGAAAAGTCCTTTGTGCCTGTAGGTTCTACTTCTAGATGTCCAGATGCACCTCTGGGTGACCTTCCCCAAATCTTCAGGGTCGGGTTCCTTTGGGATAGAAAATGAAAATGAGCTGTTCACACCCTTTAGGACACCCTTTAGGAAACTCTTCTCCCCCCAAGGCTGTCACCTCACCCACCTCCTCCCACTCCACCCCACTGTCCTCTTCCCTTCTGTTTTCTCTGTGAAGTTCCTAAACACATATCAGAGCAGATTCCCTTACTTAAGACCCCTCAGTGAGGACTGGAGGTGCAGTTCAGTGGTAAAGCACTTGCTTAGCACATATGAGGCCCTGGGCTCCAGGACCAGCCCTGCCAAAAACAAAGTAACCCTCAGAAATGATTCAACCCTGAACTCAGGATAGACTAAAGAAATTTGCATGGCGCTCAAGGTCCTCCATATCTGAGCCTATCTACCCCAGCGGGAGCATCCCACACACCCTCCACTCTACCACAATGAAGCCTTTGATGCTCCCAAACACACCCTAGTTTCTCCAGATTCTGAACCTTTGTTTGCTCCAACTATTCAATTTGTCTGGGACACCACTCCCCAGCCCAGCCCCAGTCCTCTTCTAATTCTTCGGTGGCCCTCTCCTAATCCCCCTCCATGACACACCTCCACCTCAAAGCAGTCCCTGTCTTCCTGCTTCCCCTCCCTCCCCTTCTTCCTCTGATTCTTCCCCAAATTCAGGGCCCTTATCACAGCGAGCTCTCGCCATTGATTTGACTAGTCTTCTTCCCACTCTAGACCATAACTTCAAGGACTGCAAACTAGTTATTTCCCCCTTCCGAGCATCTAGCATAGCACCTGACATTTATTGTAGGTGATTGATGGGCTGAATAAAGGCACAAATTCTCATATTTCCTCAAGTCTTGGTCTCCATCAATTCTAAAAATGCAATATCAATTTAAAGAGCCGCAGCACATTAACTGTAGATCTCAATGACAAGATGTGTGCCAACTGCAAATAGATTAAAGTGTGAAAAAATGTGTCTCTTGGGATCAAGGACATATTGAAATCACAGCTAGACAGTAATCGCATACAAATTAAGTTGGGCGGCGGAGAAGGAGACAGCGAAAAGAGCAATCTGACAGACTGGGCAAGACCCAGAAGTCATCACTAAGGCAGAAAAGCTGCAGACAGGTTTCTGCTCTCCTGTGGGCACCACACCCTGCAATTTCCTCCAGGACAAGTTGTTTCAGCACAGGCCTACTCAGAGAAACCAGGGCAAGACAAAATGGAGGGTCCCTACCAGCATGACAACTGCTGTCAAAATGAGGCACTTGCCTCTACCATCTCTGCAAGGCAGCTACACCCAGTGCCTTGACCCTGGAACCACACGTCCAGCCCCTGCTTGTTTCATGGCATAGTCGTCACCCACAGCCATGGCTGTTCACCAAGATCAGTATCTTGGGTTGGGACAGCACTACTTTCTCAGGGGCCTTAAAGGTGGAAAGAAAAGAAATCCATACCAACCAGGGCTTGGATCCCAGTGCAGCCAGTTGGGAACTGGGCATCTTACTTAGCTCTCTGAGCCCTGTCTACACAATGGAGTGACAACGTCCAACCTGGAGGATCAGGGGAGGCAGAGCAGTGCTTGTCATGTGGTAAAGGACAGAGGTGGAGTGGCTATCGCCATAGTTGCTCTTGGTTGTGTCAGAAACACCTGGCAAGCCGTCTCTTCACAGGCCAGTGCTCCACTAGCAATCTCCACAGGCTTGGGTGGGAAATGCAGCAGGAAACTTGGAGTTGACCCTCCCTCAGATTCCATCAGGGGATATTTCCTAGAGATGACGCTTCACCAAAGCAGCATTTGAATGGTGACTGGTTGGCTGCTTTCTCCTCCTTGGCTAATAATCACCCCTGGGGGACTCTGTCCTGGGATTGGGTGGCCATACTGACTCATGCAGGATCCCCTTGGCTCTCAGGGTCAAGGTGATTCTCTCTGTATGAGGCCTGCACAATCCAAGTCAGCACCCCAGGCCGTGCCTCTGGGCTGGTGCTGCACTGCTAGAACCTGGCACTGTGGTCAAGGAGGCTGCAGAGAACTGGCTGATTGGAGAGCCCCCTCCACCAAGGCATGCACAAAGTCACAACTAAATGCATGAGTCAAGTGCCAAGCCCAAAGCTTTGTTCCAGGGGATATAATCTGACCTCTGGGCTCAGTGGGTCCCAAGGGCCACATGCACAGTGAGTGTGCCCATTGTATCCCTGGGGGCACCAGGGCACTGCCTCCCAGCCCCCAGCCAGGCCCAAAAGCCCAAACACAGCTCCTTTCTCCCCAGGGTCCTTGGCATTTCCACCCATAAGCACTCTAAAAAACTGGACTACAAAATCCTCAGACTGGGAGCTCCTTCCCAATCTTATGAAACTGAAACTAAATGGGGAATTGTGCCTGGGGTACACAGTAGTCAGCATACCTGCCCCGGGTGTATTATAGGGGGAGGCAGTAGATGGGAGTAAAAGAAGGCACAGAGACCCCCCAGAAGGATGTCAGACTGTGGGAACCACAGAGGTGGCCAAGCAAAATCCCTTTGTCGTAGGGGCCTGAAGAGAATCAGCCCATGATTCTAAATTGAGAAGTAGTTTTTCAGTTGCCTTGGGGAGTTTTCAAGATGTCTTCTTGCAGAAAAAGAAATGGCATTAAGACAGACTGCAGCCTGGAAAGCTTCTTTATTAGACCAAGGCTAAAACTGTCTGCATTTATTTTAAAAGGGAAGATGATGGTAATAGTACCTATCTCCATTGTTGGGAGAATTAAATTAAGTAATGTAAATAAAGTACTTAGCTCAGAGAGTAAGTGCCCAGTTCACCTTAACTATTTATTTTTATTATCATCATGTTATTTTTTAAGAAAACTATCTGTACCTTCAAAGAGGCCAGCGCCAGATTATCTCATGAGGACAAAAGAACATCCTATTCTGACCAGCCTGAGGGGAAAGAGCAATCTGAAATCAGCAAAATGTTTGAAAAAAGTTTGGGAGTGGGAAGATACAGAAACAGTTCTATTCCTTTCACAGAAGAAAAGCAATCAGGGTATACATTCTATAGAATTGATGGTTTATACAGACAACCAAATGTGAATTCTGCCTAGTCAATCTTCCTCCCTTGCAAACTTATTATTTTAAATTAATAAGTAATAGCCTTTGTTTCCCTGCAAGCCTCAAATTGATCAACTCTCAGCCTTAATCTATAGGAGAAGCCTGGGCCTGAGGAACTAAACAGGCAGTTGGCTGTTTCTAATATCTTGCTGTGCAGTTCTCACAACTCAGCATTGTTCCCACTCCAAAGGTATAGGCACAAACCAGGGAACTGGCTCTCTACCATGCTGAAGCCTTCTAGTAGGCTGAAGGTGTCAACTGAGGGTACTTCCTTTAGAGACAAAAAGTGTGCACACCTCAACCAAAAGGAGGTTTTTTTTTGCTCTCTGCTTGTACTATAATTATCCTGTGGGATGTAACAGGTGTTCCAACGGGTACATTAAAACAGTGTGTCCTTAGATAAGTAAGTTTCATCTCTGACTCACATACATTCATATTATTGGCAAGAAGCCCTTTACATAAACAGCTCAGTGGCATATTGCAGTTTAACCTCCATCCAAGATTAAGACAAATCTGCAATCACTTTAAGCCTGCTAATCTTCAACATTAGCCCAACTCCTGGCCACCTGGGAGAATGTGGAAGGCCAGCACTGCCAACAAAGGCAGTGGAAAGGGACCTAGAAAACACCAATTCAGGGGCTGGGGATGTGGCTCAAGCAGTAGCACGCTCGCCTGGCGTGTGTGCGGCCTGGGTTCGATCCCCAGCACCATATACAAACAAAGATGTTGTGTCCGCCGAAAACTAAAAATAAATAAATAAATATTAAAATTTCTAAAAAAAGAAAACACCAATTCACAGGAGCTGAGGATAGGAAAGCAAGGAGAAACTCAGAGGGGCAGATGGATTATGCATATAGGCCACCATTGCCCATAGGTGCCATGCCCAAAATGGAAAATTCCACATTTTACTTTAACAATGGCTTTTCAATCCCCATCCGTGATCTCTGCATTACCTCATTTAGGCCTCAAAGTCAACCCATGTGCAAGTCCTTATAGGAGACGCCTGGAGAGAGCTGTTCTTCAAGTGTCATAGTTAATGACATCCCAGGAAATTAGAATCATTGCTCATAACACTTCAGAATGGACAGGGCTAGAAACTGCCGCAGAGATCACCAGTGTAACCCAAGCATTTTAC